TTCCTGCTTCATTTAAAGCTTTGCTCTTGGGAGGAAGGGGTTCAGGATGCAGGCTGCGGCTGGGAGAGAGGACTACCCCAGCCATCTTTCATTGAAGTAGCTTGGGATTAGGTGAGAAGCATCTCTCCTTAGCCGCTACAGCTCCAGGGGACACAGCAGAGGGAGAGGTGCATGTCCCCCAGCAGGGGCAAGCCAAAGTTCATCTGTCCCCTATGCTCCCCAGCCAGAGTGAGGAATGCAACAAACTGCACTTTCCCCTCGCTCCCTGATGGGGTGGGGGTGGAGGGAGATTCAGCCTCTCCCACCCTTCCTTGAATACAACTCGGGGGGTGGGAGGCTAGAGGCTGTGGTAGCACTAGACTGGGGGAGGGCATGCCACCAGCCCTTTCACCTACCTGGTGATTGTCTCTTTTCCGTATGGCTTTATGAAAAGCAACCCCATTTCAGGTACATCCCATTTTCCTGGCACAACCAAACCCTTACCATGCTTGAACTAGAGGTAAGAGGAAGCTGTATAACAAATGTGGTAGTTCTAGCACTTACTATTTAGGAGGAATTCTCGAACAGAGGCAGACTGTTGGATGCATGGATGGATGGACCAACTGTCTCAAATATAGATCAGATCTGTGACGGGCAACCCAAGCTAGTAACTGGGAGATGAGTGACCCTTCATCTCACTGGGCCACAACATTGAAACTTGGCATGTGCACTAACCGGATTCCAAGATTAAGATTAAATACATGGCACTTGATTCTTCCTCTTCATCACAAAAGAATCCATTATAAAGAGCAAATTAAATTGTTGACAAAAGTAACAATGAAGCAGAGCGAGTGCTTGGCTCTCATGATGATATGTGCAATCAGCACAAACATCGTATGTGCCCTTGCTTCAAATATGCATCACTTCTCATTTTGTCACAGGCATTCAACGCTCCTCTCTGCTGCAGTCACTGCCGCCACTCTACCCTCTCCCTCAAACCCCCACCCAGCCTCTTCTCTACCTCCTCCCCCAAGCCTGCCCCATCCCTTTTTCTACTCTCCATCACAGCATTTCCAGACCCCTGTGAATCAGCTGATTTGTGCCATGTCCCTGCTCTTCTCCTTCCCCAGAGCTTGAACACAGCAAATCAAATCAGCTGATTCGCAGCATTCAAGCTCTGGGAGCAAGGGGACGGGGTGTGAATCAGCTGATTCACAGAAGAGGAGGACTAGGTAAGTGCAGGGCCCCAGAGTGATAGAGAGATGGGGCAAGCGAGTAGTGTGTGGGAGTGAAGGGGTGCATGGGCCACACACAGAACCCCGATGGGTCGCACAGATGTATACATCGACTTTTCATTCCAAAACAGACATATTGTGGTCATCATACCTAATTCTGCAGCTGACTTGATGTCCACATTGTCGTAGCCACTGCCAATACGCACAATGACTCGGAGGGCTTTGAACTTCTCCAGATCCTGGCGGGATAAGGTGATGGTGTGGTACATCAGAGCTCCCACAGCCTCATTCAGCACCTACAGCCATGAACAGAAAGCATACCCATCTGAGAACCATTCCCTACTCCTGCACATCTAGAGTGGCACAGAGGTGGTCAGATCCATCCCCACAGTGGCTCATTTCATCTTCCTACCTTCTCATGGATTTCCTGAGTTGACTGAGCATCACAGAAAGCCACTGTAGCGACATCCTTCAAGATGGGCATTTCCACAGTACAATCCCTCCCATCCAGGAGTGCAACCAGTGGTCGGGCTGGCATTGGGCCATTCACAATAGGAGGCCGTATTCCTAGAGACAAAGACAATAGTGAACAGCTGTGCAGAAGAGAAGTGAATTCTGGAGCTCATAATTAACATGAGCAAGGGAGTTTATACAAGACCATACTGATCCAGCAGGGTACAAGAGGCTACACTTCCACAGTAGAACACTAAAGAAGAAACTGGTCAATGAGAATGTGAAAGCAACAACAAGCTCAGAAGAAACATAGGAAAAAGAAGCCAGAGTAGAAATATCTAGGCCTCTGGTGTGTAGAAGACAGAGCAGAAAGTTTTGAGTGAGGACCCAGAATGAGAAACCTCATCAGAAACAAGGTTCAGAACATTTTTATTAAGTGTGCTGAATGTGAAAAATCACGTATGCACACAAGTGTAACAAGGGTCTCAATATCGTTACAGAATTCTCTTCCTAGAAACTTCCCTCAATTCATTTCATATATCATGTAACAGAAAGGGACTCCTAAAAAATGAGGTCAAGCAACAATGGGTTAACAGCAGGGCTTTTTCTTCACAATTCCTTATATCCCCAGCTGCTCACATTCTGCTTTCCCTTCTAGGCCCTGGATCAAATTTAGCACCTTTTTAGAGGGCTCCTAACAGGAACTTCCTGCCTCATATACTTATTAAGGATGTTAAGCTGTGGTTATCTGGCTAATCATATAGTCAATATAATTAATTGATAAGGACTGCTCTGCAAAGAAGCAGTGAGGGTAGCTCCTGGAGCCGTCTCAAGCTGGGACTGAGTAGTCCTGGCTTGTGCCAGCTCTGAGAACCACCCGTGCTGCACCTCTACATTTTAAATGTAGTAAGAACTGCCAGCCGCCAGGCTCTTACTACATTTAAAATGAACAGACACTCCGTCCTGGACCAGCCCACACTGAGGCCAGCAGCCCCTGCTCATGCTGGCCAGGGCTGGCCGTGGGAAGGGGCTGCTGCCCAAGGGATCACCATAAACAGGGCTGCTTGGCGGCAGCAGCACCACCTGTCCTGCAGAGGGGAGGGGGAGAGGTTATTTAGATATTGTTTCATTATAGTCACAACAGCCACTTTCTCAGCTCTCAGTCTCACTGAAAAATCTCTACTGCATCTTCTAAATCCTTTCAAAAGTCTCCATTCATGGCAATAAGAACAGAAAAACTGGGTGATGAAAAGTGATGGGGTTTAAAGAGGTGGTCCCAAATTCATTGTAATCCTAATCCTCTGGCTCTAGGCTGTAGCCTGAGCAGAAGTGAGAGTGGAGCACCGAGTCATTCCAGCTGCCCCTGCCCGCAGGACCGGAGTTTCAGGTTCCCCCATCTCAAGCCAATGCCCGGGCCTCAGCGAGGGGCTTTTACCTTCGCAAATCCGGTCCAGCCTCTGTCGCTTCACTTTGCT